GCTCTGCTCTTGTGTTCTGGCTGCTCTATTCCTCAGGCCAGTCGTCTGCAGATGCTTTCCTTGCCTGCTGGGGGCAGTTTTTGGTCCCTGTCCTAGATGTGTCAAGTTTTAACTAGGTATGCTCTGGTCTGCCTGTGAAATGAGGCCTGTCACCATGCCCACCAGAACTGAGGCCCTGCAAAACTCTCTGGTCAGGAGACATAGTGTGGGCAGGAGCCTGTGCTGGTCTTCCCACCAACAGTGCAACAGGGTTCCTTTTTCTCCATGTCCTCGACAGCACTTGTCATTTGTTGTGTTTTTGATTGTAGCCATTCTTACAAGTGTATGGTGATACTTCATTGTGGTTTTGATTTGCATTTCCCTGATGATGAGTGATGTTCATCATCTTTTCATGTGTCTGTTGGCCATTTCTATGTCTTTGGAAAAATGTCTGTTTGGGTCTTGTGCCCATTACTAATCAGATTATTTGGGTTTTTGGTGTTGAGTTATGTAAGTTCTTTATATATTTTAGATATTAATCCTTTATCAGATATATCATTTGAAAATATCTTCTCCCATTCAATATGTTGCCTTCTCGTTTTGTTGGGGTTCCTTGATTATGCAAAGGCTTTTTTCTATTTTAAGTAAACTCTACCCCAACATTGGGCTCCAACTCATGACCCCAAGATCAAGAGTTGTATGCTCTACCAGCCAGGTGCCCCAAAAGCTTTTTATAAAAGTGTAGTCCCAAGAGTTTATTTTTGCTTATTTCTATTGCCTAAGGAAACATATCTAGTAAAATGTTTCTACTGCCAATGTCAAAGAAATTACTGCCTGTTTTCTTCTAGGAGTTTTTATGGTGTCAGACTCACACTTAGGTCCTTAATCCATTTACAGTTTAATTTTGGTTTTGATGTAAAATTGGTCCAGTTTCATTCTTTTGCCTGTAGCTGTCCAGTTTTCCCAACACCATTTATTGAAGAGATTGCCTTTTCCCCACTGTATATTCTCACCTCCTTGGCCATAGGTTAATTGACTATATAAGCATGGATTTATTTCTGAGCTCTCTATTCTGTTCCACTGATCTATGTGTCTGTTTTTGTACCAATACCATACTTTTTTTGATTACTACAGCTTCGTATTGTAGCTTCAAATATGGGATTGTGATACCTCGAGCTTTGTTATTCTTTCTCAATAATTCTTTCCTTCTTAGCTATGTATTAACTTTTAAGCCTATCTTTTAGGGACGCCTGGGTGGCTCAGTTGGTTAAGCGTCTGCCTTCGGCTCAGGTCATGATTCCAGGCTCTTGGGATTGAGTCCCACATTGGGCTCCTTGCTCATTGGAGAGCCTGCTTCTCCCTCTGCCTGCCGCTCCCCCTGCTTGTGCCCTTTCTCTCTCACAAATAAATAAATTCTAAAAAAAAAAAAAAAAAAATATCTTTTAAAACTATCACTATGTATTTCTTGTAAAGAGTTTCTTCTTAGGGTGATTACACTGCAGGGTGGACCTGGGCAGGGGTTACTTTCGTTCTCTTTTGAAACACTTAGCATTTGTAAAGATTTTTCTTAAAAATAATCAAGAAAAGAAATAAGGATTACGTTTACCAGTGGAATTGAAGAGTCAACAAAAAAACCTTCATAGTCCATTGTTTAGTAAGAAAATAACAAAAAAAACCTTCATAGTAACCTGTTTAGTAACAAAATAGCTGGAAGTTACCAATGTGTCTAGGAAGCTCCTTAGACTATTGTTTTTTTTTTTTCAAGATTTATTTGAGAGAGCAAGAAAGAGAGAGTGAAGGAAAGGGGCAGAGGAAGAGAGCATCTGAAGCCAACTCTGCAGTGAGCACAGAGCCCGATGTAGGGCTCAGTCTCACAACCCTGAGATCATAACCTGAACCAAAACCAAGAGTCGGATGTTGAATCGACTGCACCACCCAGGTGCCCCTAGACTGTTGTTTTATTTTTTTTTTAAGATTATTTATTTATTTGACTGAGAGAGACATAGCGAGAGAGGGAACACAAGCAGGGGGAGTGGGAGAGGGAGAAGTAGGCTTCCCGCCGAGCAGGGATCCTGATGCGGGACTCGATCCCAGGACACTGGGACCATGACCTGAGCTGAAGGCAGACGCTTAACGACTGAGCCACCCAGGCGCCCCTATACTGTTGTTTTTAAAGGATCTTTATTTCCATCTCTTTCTCCACCCCCTTTTAGGGAACAAAACGCATGAAGGACACATACCCCAAATCAACACTCTCTTCATCTCTGAATGGTGGCATGAGTGGTTGTCTTCCTTTCCTCTCTACACTACACTGCCTCTGTTTATGCACACCTTACTTTGTAAAAACATATTCTTTTGTTCGAAATGAAATATTTAAATAAATGCACCAGTCAGGTACCTGGGAGTCACTGTGACCCAACAACACATCCCCACCTACCTAGGCATTAGGGATGCCACTTGCAGCAGCCCTGGGAAGGCCATGAAGACGCACTGGTCCCGTAGCAGGTCCTTAGCAAAGTGTACAAGGTGATGTGGTTCAAGAAGTGCCTGTTTTGTTTTTTGGTTTATTAAAGATTTTATTTTATTTGAAAGAGAGCACGTGTCTACATGTGCACGCATGCATGGGCGGGGGAGAGGGGCAGAGGCAGAGGGAGCCCGATGCAGGACTTGATCCCAGGATCCCAAGATCATGACCTGAGCTGAAGGCAGATGCTTAACCGATTGAGCCACCCAGGCACCCCAAGAAGGGCCTGTTCTTGGAAACCTGGTTCTCTCGTCTGGGGATGGAGCAACTAAGAGTATCATAACATCAGGCTTATGAATGAGACAAAATTATATTATTTTTTGAACTACTTGTTTAAACTTCTTTCAATTGTAAATAGTTTTATAAATTGTCAATATTAAATTTCCCACTTTATGAGACATTATTTGCCCACTGTCAGGAAGGAAAAATAATTTTCTTTTTACTATTGTACGTTCTTGCTGGGGCCACTATAACAAAAGACAGATGAACAAGAGTAAACACACAAAAGTTTATTGACCTGTGTATCCTCCCTATGACACATGGGAGTCCCCAGAGGTGAACAACACAAAGGCTTGGTTACAACTTGAGTTTACACAGTATTTTTGCAGAGGAACAATAAACTTTTAGAATAATTACATGACAAAAGCAAAGGACCTTGAATCTCCAGGGCAATAAATTGTGAGAAGGCAAATATATGGGAAACTAATGGTAGATAAGGGCTAGTTGGTAAAATCCATTATGTAGATTTCTCTAGTGCCCTCTCCAGGCTAAAGAACTGTTTTCTCCATGGAATAACTTTTCTCCTTCCTGGTAGAGATAGACATCTTTTAAAATTTATGCCCTACTTTTAGGCAAATGGGGAGAGGGCTGGAAGCTTTGCTTGTATAGGCTTCTGCTTAATTGCCCACAACTCAATAGTCTTTATGCCAAAGTGGCACATTTTGAGGTCACATATTCTGCCACCTTCACTACAAATTCATGCTGTGTATATTTGGTTATGTATGAGAAATTTCATGTTCATTTCAAGCCCTGAGCAAATCTGAAGAAAATGTAGATTACATCATTACATTTATACAAATAAACAAAGGACAAAAGTCTACTATATACACATGTATGTTTCCTGCATGTATATCCAGATACCTATGTCCTGTTGGTCATTTAAACATGGTTCAAAAAAAAAAAAAAAAGGTTAAATGACCAAACTGTGCATTATGTTTACTATTGGACAATGGAATTTCGAGGAACTCTTTCAATCATCTCTGTACTGAGACTATTTTTTGGTGGACAAATGGGGAATGTCAATTATGATTTTTAAATGTAGCATTGTTTTAAAAAATCTGTGGTGGCCCAGTAGCATATAACACAGAAATGAATTTTTGATCAAAAATAATTATAGCTTCTTTCCCATGTGTAGCAACAACACATGAAAACTTTGGAATTCTCTGGGTCTTTCTGCAAGTGACAACAATAATAGTGGTTTATGTTTTCATCTTTTTACAGATAATAGAAGACATCATCCTAAAATTCATAAAGGAATTTCAAGAGACCACCAAAAACTCAAAACAATCTTGAAAAAGAACAAAGGTGGAGGACTTACACACCCTGATTTCAAAATTTGCTAGAAAATTGTTATACACTAATCAAGACAGTGTGGAACTGCCATGAGGACAGATACATAAATGAATGGAGAACCCTAGAGAGCCAGAAACACATCATCATGTGTATGATCAAACGATTTTCAACAACGATGCCAATACCTTCCAATGGTAAAACACAGTCTCTTCAACAAACAGTGTTTGGCCAACTGGATTTCCACATATAAAAGAAAGAAGTTGGGACACTTATACTACGTTGTATGCAAAAATAAATGCAAATTATGTTAAAGTCCTAAATGTAAAATACAAAACTATAAAACAGCTAGAAGAAAACATGGTTAACATTTTGTTGACCTTGGATTTGGCAGTGATTTCTTGGATATGACATGAAAACAATGGGCAAAAAAGCAAAAATAGACAAATTAGACTACAAACTTAAAAACTGTTCTGAGTCAAAGGACACAATCAAGAGTGAAAGGACAACGAACAGAATGGCAGAAAATACTTGCAAAACAAATGCTTGATAAGGTATTAAATATAGAGAGAACTCCTACATCAAAACAATGGAAAACAACGTGATGAACTAATGTGTAAAATTTTCAAAGGACATTTCTCTCAAGATGACATACAAATGGCCAACCAGCATATAAAAAGATGCTTAACATCACTACACTTCAGAGAAGAATAAATTAAAACCAAAATGAGATACTTACTACCTTATACACATTAACATAGCTGTTCTTAAAAATAAACAAAAAACAAATCTTGGTGATTCCACATATATGTGGCAAAGTAAAGTGCTTCACTCAAAGAAAAACAAAGCAAAATGGCAAATGCCCAAGGCTGGGGGGAGAGAAAACAGGGACGTGTTGTATGAAGGATAAAGACATCACTTCTGCAACATGGACAGGTTCTTAATATCTACATGGTAACATTAAGAATATATTGAAAACTAATGCTCAGTACAGTCAAAACTGGATATATACATATAAATTTTATGCTTATCTTGAAGAACAACAGAACTCTTAATGTAGAGTACAATATCAAAAATGGTGGAAATAGTAAAAATCATTTTGCAAGGTGAACTAAAAAGACTTTTTTAAGATTTATTTATTTATTTGAGAGAGCGAGAATGGGAGAGAGTACATGAGAGGGGGGAGGGTCAGAGGGAGAAGCAGGCTCCCCGCCAAGGGGAGCCAAGCAGGTAGCCCGATGCAGGACTTGATCCCAGGACTCCAGGATCATGACCTGAGCCGAAGGCAGTCGCTTAACCAACCGAACCACCCAGGCGCCCCTAAAAAGACTTCTGAAAAGAAATTCCAGAGAGGAAAGATACTCAAAAATGAAACTTCTTTCTAGATGACAGAGATTAAGGTACTATGGGTACAAGAATAATCCTTTTACGTCAATTCACTGATGAGAAGTTTGATTTTTTTCCCCCTAAAATTTAAAATACAAATATTTTCTGTAGTGAAGCTTTGATGGCATGTTTACACAGTCAAGACACGAGTCTCATGAATTTTCAGGATGCAAAATCAGCCATACTTACAAGAGAAGAGAAACTGTTTTAGGATGCCCAAGCAGCCCCGACTTAGGGCAAGAAGCAAGAACAGAGCATGAAGACTCAGTCTGGGGACCATCAAGGTAGCGAAGACAGGTGAGCTATGAAACTATGACGAGTACGAGTCTATATTATTGAAGAATGGCTGGGACCCTGGGGAAGAGGGACTGGACATGACTCACCAGAATCTCCTTCTGCTGATAGACTGTCCCCTGAACTGAACTGAACTACTTTGGTTTATACACACACACCAAGAATGTGCTGGCTGAAGTGAACCCCCAGACTTGAATTCCAGGAAACTTTCACCACATTTGTGAACTCATGGTTCAGCTCTTAACAAAAACTAAGTGTCCAAACAGCTGATGGCCTCAAGAATCCAGTGTGAGAACACATCCAATTTGAATGTATGAAAATTGTCATATCTTTCTCCATCCCAGTGATGTGTGAGACTTGGTGGCCAGAAATGACCCCATTGTTTTTGTGATGGGTGCAAATACCCAAGTCAGTGTGCACTATTCGCAGAATATGGTGTCCATCACCAAAAAATAACCTATCTGCTGCCATCAAGTGTGCAAAACTGACCAGAATGCTTCAAGTATGTGTAGTAGTTTAACAAAAGACCCTTCTTCGAAAACACACACTATTCACATAGCATAATTTGAACCACTTAGTAAGTCACTGTTCGGGAATGCCATTCTTACAATAAGACTGTGCAGTTTTGGGAAAGCAAGGACATACATATCCCATTTGATTACCCTATAAATGAAGTTCGAACAAAAATTTCTTCAACTTGAAAATCAATGGAATAATAAACCCATTTTCTCTGAAAATGAATATATTCATTCTATATCTACAGCATCTTCAATGAACCTGCAACCTAAAAATGAAAATCAATACTGCCTCAGATACTAATACCCTAATTGATACTAAAAAAAAAAAAAAAACACCTGATCATAGGTTGTAATAGACAAAACTGCTACAAACCTACATAGGATAAAAGGTATTAAAGTGGACGAAAACACAGAAATAAGATCTTAAAACTATTACCATATACACCTAGCTATTTCTTCCCGAAAAAAAACAAAACAAAAAAAAACTTGCAAGCTTCAAAATGCCTACATTTCACATCCTCCAGGCTGAACATAAAATATTTCACCACTGCAGAAAAATATATCCTTTACCAAGCTACCTTCACCGTCTTTCCCCAAAACAACATGTCTGGGACTCTATTTCTCCCGATATCAATCTCTCAAGGTACCCAGGTTACACACCAGAACTCTACACCGCGGAGCACTTAGAGCATAGGAGGGAGGGCCCATCTCCCGCCCCGCCTGCGACTCCCACAGCACTCCACCCGGGGAAGCCGAAGCGCGGGGCTCACGGGATCCCCAACGAGTTCCGCTTGATGGCAGTATTGCTCCACGTACACCAACCGGCCCTTCCCCCAGGGCCTCTCCCTCCGCCCCTCGCCGAAGAAAAAAGGCCAAGTCCTGGCCACGGGCTCCACCATGGCGGCTCCCACGTCCCGTCCCGCCCCGCAGCTCTGCTCTCGTGGGGGAGCCCACTCCCGCTTCTGAGGCTGCCTGGCTCGGAGCCTCGTCCCCTGTGGCTCCACGTAGCCTGCCGAAAAGCAAGGGCGAGGCCCGGCAGGTTCAGCGAGCCGCCCGGCAGTGGCCATAAGCCCCTCCGGGCCTCCATCTTTACCCGCGCAGCTCTGCAGGACGCCTCAGGAGACACACTGGTCCGCTCGAGGGCCCAGAGCCCCAGCCACCCCTAGCCAGTCGGTGCCCGATCCTCCGTCCGGACTCCCCCAGAGGCCAGCGGGACCCTGAGGCCTGCAGCGGCCAGACACAAAGGTCGGCGGAGGCGGTAACACGGCCACCGGCCGTGGGGTCGGCAGTGAGGTCCGCCTCCAACGGCCCGAGGACGGAGGGGTCCCGAGCACCGGGCCCACGGCCCGCGGCCTCTCCTCACGGCCGTCCCGCCCCTCCGCCCACAAACGGGATTCCGACGTGGACCCTGGCCCACACGGGTCAGTGCGGAGGGCAGCCGGCAGCCGCACCAGGGTCGCCAAAGTGCCCCGGGCCTGGCCCAGGCTGCGTCTCGGGACCGCTCCCACGGGAGGGGGCAGGCCAGGGACGGGCCAGCCCCACGTGGGCCCCTGCTCTCCAGGACCCGGGCCTTTCCCAGCGGAGCGTGGCCGGGCCAATGCACCCCAGTGCTGCTCTTCTCTCCCCTCCATCGGCCCGGATCCTGGGGTGGACACCTCACGGTCCCTTTCATGTGCACCCTGACAACCCGCCTCTCGTGCCTGGGGCATAGAAGAGGAAAAAACCACACACACACACACACACACACACACACACTACGAACACGCTCGAAAACACATTGCACTCACAGAAACACGCGCTCACACTACTTCACGTGAACGGACGCATGCACGCACACGCTCACACAGGCACCGTCCCCCAGAAACAACGGAGGATCACAGGTGGATGTCACCCTTTTGCAAACCTCAGGAGGTGGCCCTCACAACCCACAGCAAGCGCCCGAGTAGGTGAACGACAGGTGTCCGATTCTACCCCAGCCCCTGCGCCCAAGGGCATAACGGCGCTCCTTTCGTGCACACGGGGCCCTCTCCCTGCTCTAGAATGGCACGAGGCTCTTCCAACTTCAACCCTTGGGGAACACTTTTGCTTCCTGCCCTGCTTCGCCCAGGACTCGGCCCGAGAGGCCCACCACCTCACTCTGCCCAGGGCAGGGAGCAGATATGCGGTCCCTCCGGTGGCAAGCAACACCACCCCACTCGCAAACCACCCCCGCTCCCGTCCTCCACCTCCAGAGGGTCCTTCCGGTCCCTTCCCACGCCTCAGTTCTGCGAACCCTGGCTGAACGACACCCTGTTGGACACAAACCCTGCTCACCTGGGAGACTCACGCCCCGAGGGCTGGGGCCGGGCTGGGGCCTGGCCGGGGCTGGCGGTGGGGGGAGAAGGAAGATGCACCAGAGGGGCTCCGTTCTTTCAGCATGGAGCCACGGGGCCCCGCAAAGAGAGCGTCCACCCCAAGAGAGCCCGGCACCGGCTAAGTCGGAAATGGGCCCACGGCTCCCATCCAGGCACGCACGCACGCCCGCCCACCTCCCGGGCCAAGGGAGCCAGAGCAGCGTGCAGTCACGAGTAGGGAGCCAGAGCGCCCACCGCCCCTCTGGGGGTCGCCTGCTACCCCACGCTCTTCTCCCCTGACCCGCGCTAGGCCCGGGCCGGCTCAAGTCCAAAGGGTCATCCCGGACACTGTCACCTGTCCCGCCTTCAAAGCAGGCTGGCAGACAGTTTCCCACCCCCCGCATCCACCCCCACCCCCACCCCAGCCCGGCTGAAATCCCCGGTCTCCGTTCTCCGGGGCCTGCCACCCACTCTAGGGATTCCCTCCCGCTCACAAAGCAAAGGCCTGAGCACCCTCGGAGCGCAGCCAGGAGCCACGGAAGACCCTCAAGTGGGGATGCGCCGCCTCGGGAAGGGAGGGCCTAGCTCCGAGAGCAGTCAACCGCCCAGACGGTCGGGGTCGCGCCAAGGGAGGCGACACAGGTGCCCCCTAGCTCAGCTGGGTCGGCACTGGGTTCGCGGTCGGCTCGCCAAACACAGTGCGGGCACGGGCCCCCCGATACCCCACGGGGCCCAGGTCGGGAATGGTGACAGAGGCCACGGATACCCTCCCCGGGGACCGCTCGAACCCTCAAGAACCTCATCCTCCGGATTCACCGCATTGACACCCACCTTCCCCACCTGGAGTCAAGAGTAGGCCAGCGAAGCGCCGCTCCTCGACCTCGGGCCCAGGGTGAACCAGTTGCTGCCATCTGGGTAGGCCCCCGAGAGGGCAAGCAGGGCGGCCGACGGTTCCGGGGACCCAAGCTCTGCGGGGGCCGCTGCTGGCGCCGGGGCCCAAAGGGCGCGTGCACGCCGCCGGGCTCTCGGGCAAGGGCTGGGGGACAAGGAGAGCCAGGGGGTCAACACCGGGGTGCCCCTGGCCAAGAAGGAGGTGAGCATGCACAGCCTCTCCCTTCTCGTCCTCCTCCCTACCGCCCCCCCCCCGCCCCGCCCCGTCCCCTTCACACACACACTAAGGGGCTTTCTGGGAGCTGACGTGTGCGAGGAGAAGGGGCAACAGGCTGCCTTCATGCTCTCGGTCGGGGTGCTGGTGGTGGTGGACCTGTGCGGATGCTTGGGGATGCTTGGGCACACGTGTGCGGGGGAAGGCACGACCCATGCCCGACCTTCCTTCCACGCGTGAGGCTACTGGGACAGCTGGGGTCTCCGCTAAGGTCGGCCCGAGTGCTCCAGAGCGGAAGCCTCCCTCGTGGCCATGGCAGACGGGTGCCTGACTGCGGGTCCGTCTGGGCACACGGGGTTCGGCCCGCTGTCCAGGGGACGAGACTCCGCTCCCTGGAGCCCCAGAAGCGGGAATGCTCCCCTCCGCCACGGCGGCCCAGACGTGGGAGCCGCCATGTTGGAGCCAGGGAGGGTGGACACAGGCCTGGCCTTTTCTTTTTGTTTTCTTTCTGGCGTGGCCTTTTTTCTTCGGCAAAGGGCGGAGGGAGAGGCCCGTGGGGGAAGGGCCGGTTGGCATCCGTGGTGCAATACTGCCATCAAGCGGAACTCCTCGGCGGTCCCCTGAGCCCCGCGCTGCGCCTGCCCCGAGTGGAGAGGCCCCCGCAGTGACGTGGGAGTCCCAGGCGGGACTGGAGACGGGCCCTACCTCCGTGGCACCACCCCGCAACTGCCCCGAGGTGCAGAGCTCCCCCGGGGCTACCTGGGAGGGCTCCAGGGACGGGTAGCAGGACAGAGCGCGAGGTCCCGGTGCCCTGCGGGGCGGGCACGGGAAGCCAGGGCTCGGCACCCTGGCGGCCGCCATGTCTGGGCGGGACGAGAGGGGTGCAAGCCAGCCCGGAGCGGGAAGGAGCACCCAGCCGGGCCAGGGGCGCCAGTGAGGCCTTGGGCCCACGCGCGTTGGGTGGCCGCCGTGCCCCTTCCCCAAGGAGCCAGAGCAGGGTCGGTCTGGGAGGGCCCAGGGCCCTGATGTCCCTGCGTCCGGTTCTGAGGATCAGGTGTGGAGGCGAGCCACCCGGTGTCCAGGGACCTGGAGGGTGAGGTGGTCTCGGGAGGCGGCGGGGTAGGGGTGGGGAAGATAGTGGTGGCCGATAGCAGGAGGAGAGGAGTCCAGGAGGGACACGCCCACCCTGGGACGAGCCAAAGTGGAAGCACCAGCAGCCTCCTTAGCCGTTCTGCCCACCCCTTCCCCGCCACCGCGGCCACCAACCGCCCCCTCCCCCCCACACCAGGCCTGGGCCCACGAAGCCCTCGCCTGACACACACAGGGCAGCTGCACCGCCATCTGCAGGGGCTTCCCCGCCTCTGGCGTCTGGCGGAGGCCGGGCCCCAGTGCTCCCCCACGCAAGTCGAGGCCCAGCCGCCCCGCCCCGCCCCGCCCCGCCGAGGCGTCTGAGTTTGCACAGTGCGCGTTCTGGGCCACACGTTCCCCAACAGGACACCAGGGCGGGCAGGGCAACGACAAGGAACGGCCGGCTGGCTGGCTCTTGCCTCTGCGTCCCGATGCCACGCTTGCTTCAGAGCTGGCCGTCAACGGACCAGTGTGCGGTGCGTGTCAGAAGGGCCAGGCACCTTGGGACTGCGGGCCCCTTCTCTCCCGCCTGGGGCTCCGACTTCACTCCCAGGCCCGCCTCGGCCGTGGGCTCACGGGATCCGCAGGGCAGTTCCGCTTGATGGCAGTATTGCTCCACGGCCACCAACCGGCCCTTCCCCCAGGGCCTCTCCCTCCGCCCCTCGCCGAAGAAAAAAGGCCAAGCCCTGGCCACGGGCTCCACCATGGCGGCTCCCACGTCCCGTCCCGCCCCGCCCCGTCCCGCCCCGCAGCTCTGCTCTCGTGGGGGAGCCCACTCCCGCTTCTGAGGCTGCCTGGCTCGGAGCCTCGTCCCCTGTGGCTCCACGTAGCCTGCCGAAAAGCAAGGGCGAGGCCCGGCAGGTTCAGCGAGCCGCCCGGCAGTGGCCATAGGCCCCTCCGGGCCTCCATCTTTACCGGCGCAGCTCTGCAGGACGCCTCAGGAGACACACTGGTCCGCTCGAGGGCCCAGAGCCCCAGCCACCCCTAGCCAGTCGGTGCCCGATCCTCCGTCCGGACTCCCCCAGAGGCCAGCGGGACCCTGAGGCCTGCAGCGGCCAGACACAAAGGTCGGCGGAGGCGGTAACACGGCCACCGGCCGTGGGGTCGGCAGTGAGGTCCGCCTCCAACGGCCCGAGGACGGAGGGGTCCCGAGCACCGGGCCCACGGCCCGCGGCCTCTCCTCACGGCCGTCCCGCCCCTCCGCCCACAAACGGGATTCCGACGTGGACCCTGGCCCACACGGGTCAGTGCGGAGGGCAGCCGGCAGCCGCACCAGGGTCGCCAACTCGCCCCGGGCCTGGCCCAGGCTGCGTCTCGGGACCGCTCCCACGGGAGGGGGCAGGCCAGGGACGGGCCAGCCCCACGTGGGCCCCTGCTCTCCAGGACCCGGGCCTTTCCCAGCGGAGCGTGGCCTGGCCAATGCACCCCACTGCTGCTCTTCTCTCCCCTCCATCGGCCCGGATCCTGGGGTGGACACCTCATGGTCCCTTTCAAGTGCGCCCTGACAACCCGCCTCTCGTGCCTGGGGCATAGAAGAGGAAAAAAACCACACACACACACCCACACACTACCAACACGCTCGCAAACACACTTGCACTCACAGAAACACGCGCTCACACTACTTCACGTGAACGGACGCATGCACGCACACGCTCACACAGGCACCGTCCCCCAGAAACAACGGTGGATCACAGGTGGATGTCACCCTTTTGCAAACCTCAGGAAGTGGCCCGCACAACCCACAGCAAGCGCCCGAGTAGGTGAACGACAGGTGTCCGATTCTACCCCAGCCCCTGCGCCCAAGGGCATAACGGCGCTCCTTTCGTGCACACGGGGCCCTCTCCCTGCTCTAGAATGGCACGAGGCTCGTCCAACTTCAACCCTTGGGGAACACTTTTGCTTCCTGCCCTGCTTCGCCCAGGACTCGGCCCGAGAGGCCCACCACCTCACTCTGCCCAGGGCAGGGAGCAGATATGCGGTCCCTCCGGTG